ATACAGAATAGACAATGTCTATATATTTCTAGTAAAATTACCTTGTTAGACTCATAACCTCATTTGGCTAAAATCATGAGACTGGTATTAAAGGTAGTCTTTTTCCCTCCTCTGGATATTTCCCAGAATAACAACTTTGAAGACAAAGTTAGTGAATTTTCCCCTCTTTGAAGAGTATTTTGTACATTTGAATCACTTGAAATAAATGAATGATCATGAGCTTTGAGTGCACCTCTGGGACAGGACTGCAAATGCCTTAACTTGACAGCAGTCACTGGAAAGCACAATCAGTGAGCAGGTAATGCTTCCATTTCCTCTTGCATTTGTTTCATTTGGGAAATAGTAGGCAAAATGTAGTTGGAAATTCAAGTTTAATTTAAAAAAAAGATTCAACTTTGAGAAAAGGTAGGAATTGGTATATCAAATAACACAGACCTAACTCACAGTGATTGAATGAAAAAAGATTTCCACCTGGAGTTCAGTTGCTGCCAGTAAAATTAAAAATATCTGTATCTCAGTCTAACTCATATTAATGAAATGCTGATTGATTATATGTATTCACTGTAATTCATAGGTTTGTCTGAAATGAGATTACTGTACAGTTATTATTAAATAAGATTAGTGTACTTTTATCACAGCCATATAACACTATTATCTAAAAATTGCACCACAGGTATGATATCAAATGCATTTTGTGAGATTAATATGTAATACTTAAACTGATATCTTTTAAGAAAAATGTCAAGGGAAGTATGCAAATCATAACATAAATAGTTATCTTACATTGAAAATTAGTATTAAACTCTAAACTATTGTTGGAATGGAAACCTTAAATTTCCCTGTATTTACTTAGAATTGCTCTGCAGATTTCTATAGTTATCTTCTGCTTTCTCACCCTCTCTCCACCAAGTTTACCATATCTGTACTTGATGTGAGAAAAGAAAATACATTTGTGTCACATTTTCCAATCTATGGTATTGAAGAATGGGTGAGGAGGGAAGAGGGCCTGGCTGTGTCCATTCAAACCCTCAGGTTTGTAACAGGTGACAGATGCATTTCCTCCTCAGCCACAGCTGAGTCGGTAGTTCAGAGGCAGCGACTGAATCCACCATGGAACAGCCAGGGCATGATCTTTTTTAGTTTCCTGAGAAAGGGCAGATTTGAATTCCATGAGTTATCTCTCTGATATACCCTCTTTCTACCATATTTTCCCCCTTAGTGGAAAGGCTGCCAAGAAGTTTTAAGTGAAAGAAAGGAGCCTCTTTTCATTTAGATGGAAGATTATTTTCATGCGTGGATATGGTTTTTTTTTTTTTAAAGAGCCATCTCTATGAATAGTGGCCACCTCAGTGTCAAAATGAATGCCTTGATCTTTCTGATTACAGACAGAATGTGTCCGCACAAAGTCCCTAGTTCATTGATACACATTTACATATAATTCCTAAAATATGTATTTGGGCTGCAACTGGGAATTAGATTTAGACCAGTTTTTGAAAACCCATGGACTGACGGGGAACATGGAGGCTCCATAGCTTTCTATTCTCCTCTGCTCAGGATGGAGGTAAAGAGACATTAGATTACTCTTTGCTCCCAGTCTCTTCCAATATGGAGAGTAGGAAGCTATCATGATTCAATAATTTTATACTGAAGTTGCTAAAAAATACATTATCTTTTAATGCTGATAATTACACCCCTGAACAATGGAGAATATTTTAAGTAGAGGAAAAGGACTATACAGTCACATCCTTTTAGCATAGAAAAGATTGTTTGAATTAATAAAAAAATAAACCTGCTTTATAAAAATCATCATAAAAATCCATACTAACATAACGTAAGAGCCAATATTGAAATGAAGACATGTCAGACCAAATAAAGAAGTGGTTTTTCGACTAACACAGACATTATTTGCATGAAAAGGTGAGTGACAGTCTCTTGCCTTGTCTATGGTATTAAATGACAATAAGTTTTTGTAAAAAAAAAAAATGTAAAGAATGCAAAATGAATTTTCTATTCCTTGTGAAATTTTCTCAAATGAATTATGAGTAGTCTATACAGGATGTGGTCACATTCTGCATTCATTTTGTTTACCAAAGTACATAGCTTAATGCCTTGGTAATTCTAAGATACCAAGATAATGTCAGTTTCAAAGCTGATGCTCCATAATTACAAACAATACATCCAAGCTGATTAGGCTGTATGTTTCTAACTTTTTTTCTGAAAAATTGTGTGTTTCTCTCTTCTAGCAACCTTAAAAATTTTTAGTGTTGTAGTCTTTAAAGGTTTAAATACATTGAAATTTGAAGACTAAATTTGTTCCCATCAACTATAAGTGAGTTGTAATGATCATATAATTAACTACTTTAATTATAAAGCAGACTTCGGAAGGCTTGTACACCTTTTGTTTTCATTTTCAATATCTTTTTTTCCTAACTAATGAAATAATTGCAGTGTCCTTCTTGTCCACAGGAAGACTTGGGTCCATTTCTTCATCCATATAAAAATGGATTTAATAAACTCATGATCTCTGAGGCTTGTTTTGCTTGTTTACATTATTTGACTTTCTGTATGCCTTGTATATCTGTCTCTTCTCTTGCCTGCCTACCTACTCTTCCTCCTACCAACTTCACTCTTCTTACTTTTCCATTCCCAAAGTTGCTTTTTCTAATGCTCTTTTCTCTTACTTTCTTACAAGAATCAAAGATCTGTGGATTTAAAATATTATTTTAACAGAACTTCCAACCCCTTTTGGTTTCTCACTGAAAGTGGCTTAAGGTACAAAAACACCAAAATTCCAGACAATACTAATGGAGACAAAATGTCACAGGTTGAATTCAAATTCTTTTTGCACTTCAGTGCTCAAGTATTGGAGACAAAGGGAAATCTAAGGTCAAGTATTTAACCTCATTCTTTACTTGGAGATAGATAAGAAACACTCTGAACAGTATGTTATTGGAAAATACACTTTGATGGATGTCTGGGATAGATAATAAGATCTCCGTATTATCATTTTATTAACCAGAATGAAAAGATCAACTGGATATTAGTTATCACCAATTTTTCTATGTAGATAAAAATAGAAAGCAATAAAAAAATGCAAAATGTCAACCAGTGGCACTTAAGCCATATTAGATTGCTCTGATCAGGCTGCTGCTTGGCAAGCTACTTAAACAGA